ATTTATTAAATTTTATTTTATTTCTTTTTATTTATTAAATTTTATTTAATTAAATACCTTATTTCCATGTTTCATTGTAAATCCAGCAAAGGTTTGTTTTGTTAATTGATTATAAAGAAAAACATTTCCTTTTCGTGTTCCTGCAGCGAGATACGAATCTCCATTTCCCCAACATATACATTCCATTGGACTTTGATCAACACTCTAGAATATTTTTTTAAATTTTATATTCATTTTTATTTTCTTTTTTTAAACTTACATTAAATGTTTGAGCAATTCTTCCTGAATTAACATCCCAAATTTGTGCTTGACAATCTTCATTAGTTATACTTAAATATTTTCCTGACATACTAAATGAACAACATTGAGCTTTTGTCTAAAATTAAAAAGAAAAATATTTTGAAAAATTCTTGATGTTTTTTGTTCTCTGGTAAATACCGTTGAAAGTTCAACAGATTTATTTTTTTGTAAATCATATAATTGTACACGTCCTGTTTGTTTATATGTAAAAACAAGATAATTTGCTAAAATAAAAAAAAGAAAAAGGTGATAAATCTCGATGAAAAATTAGTATTTATCTAACAATTATCTTTTTTCCAATCAATAGATTTAATTGTATCTGTTGATGGTTGATGATCATGACCAAATTCTTTAATTATTGAATAATCTTGACAATTCCATATTTGTAATATATTACTACATGTAGCTAACATCGTCTTTTTTTTTTTTTTCTTTATTATTGTTTATCCTTGAATTGATTTTATAGAAATTAAATCATAAATCCTATTGTTTATTTATTTATTATTTTTATTTTTATGTTTTTCGGATATTATTTTATTTTTATTTATTATTAAATAAAATAATAAAAGAAAAAAAAATGTTTTTTCTAAATAAATATTTTTCAAAAAAATGTCAGTGACCTCTATAGATTTTTTTAAACAAGTTTTTATTGGTAAGTTTAATCAACGATGACCTTCTTTTTTTCTTTCTTTTCTTTTCTTTTCTTTTTTAATGTCACTTTAATCGATTTTTAAAAAAAAAATCCCAATTTTATTATTTAGATCTAATGAAGTGGTCTTATTTATTATCTTCATTATTATTTTCGATAATTTCAATAAAATTCTCGTCAACTCAATTTAGTGTTTATGATCAAGCAGTTATTCCATTTAGTATTTATAATGTAGACGGAAATCCAAATAATCTAATAACTAATAGTAAGATATTTTACCAACCTTTAATAATAGTTTATTTTGTTTATCTCTCCAATAACGTAAAAAAAAGAGCACTGATTATATCTTTAACAAATCAAATCACCAATTAGCATTCAGTTAGTTACTCATTTTTATTGATAAATTTATTCTTAAAACAAAATTTTTCGGTAAAAGTTTTTATGTAATTGACAAAGTTTTGTTTTTGTTGTTTTTTTAAATGAAATTAATTTGTTAAAAAAAGTTAAATTGATCATCTTTTTCAAAGGTTAATTATGAAAGCAAATTTCTTTTTTTATTCTAAAAAGTAAGATTTACCCTTGATGACGATACCGTTGACACTCATTTTTATCCTCTTTCCTCCATTTTATATTTAAATAATAAACTCTCACTCACAATCAATTTATTTAAATAACCCTATGACAATCAATTACCTTATTAACAGCCGATTTACACACGACATATTACTGAAAATCAAGTTCGTCTTATTCTAGGGCATATACACTCACTCTTCGATACGATGATCAGGATTACGAACAAACACTCTTCCTTTTCCTATCGTTAAATGAAACAAACATCTCACTAAGGATAAACACTATTTCGGGAGAAATTTTTTTTTCTTTTTTTGCTTTTTAAAATTCCGAAGTCAATCTAGTTAAATATTTGTTTAAAATCGAATGAAATTAAATTTATTCGAATTTGTTTTATCATATTTCTATATAAGGTAAAGTCGTCTAGAAAAGTTTCATAGAGATTTATTTTTGAATATTTTCATTGAAGATTTCTAATTAGCTCAAATTGAAATAGTCATCTTAGATACCTCGCGAAATTCTCTATCGAATAGAATTATCTCTCCAATTTTAAAAAACAAACTTTATCAAGAGAGTTTTACAGAAAGGAGTGAGAGAAGGATTTTGATAGAAAGATTTTTCAATATAACCATCTCAAAGAGCAGAAAATTCTCAACAAAATCAAGAGTTTAGAAGTTCTTTACAATATTCCTTCACAAACTTCTAACCATTAGAAAAAAACGAAAGAATACCATTTTAATAGGATTTTAGGGTTTTTTTTCATAAAAATCTAGAAAAGGGCGTTTTTTTTTCGTTTTTTCTAATGATTAGAACTTTCTCAGGGAATGTTGTAGAGAACTGGTCGATCCTTGATTTTATTGAGAATTTTCTGCTTTTTCAAATCCATATATTGAAAAATCTTTCTTTCAAAATTCTCTTCTTACTCTTTTCTGTAAAACTCTCTTGATAAAGTTTGTTTTTAAAATTTGAAAGATAATTCTATTTGATAGAGAATATAAATATCTATCTAAGATGATTATTTCAATTCTATCTAACTAAGAATCTTCAATGAAAAACATTGAAAACTAAATCTCTATAAAACATTTTCGGTCGACTTTAATTTAATGATCAATTGAATTATTTTCTTGTAAAATGATGAATAAAATAATAAAAAAGAAGTTGTCTTTATAATAATAGTTCGTTGGTGTTGTGTAAATGAACGAGAATATAGAAAATGTGAATCATGGTCAAATGCATTATTATCATCAAATATAACATTATCAACACTTAGTTGTATAGCTGGATTAGATAAATTTGATTGTTATAGAAAAATTTTTAATGATCAAGCTGATTTAATGACAGCTGATTCAGGTGAAATATATACAGCTGGAAGATATTATAATCTTGTACCAATAGCAAATGAACTTTATTCACCAAATTTCAATGGTAAAAATAAAAAAATAAAAAATAAAAAATTTAATTTATAAATAAAAATGCAAAAAAATATTTAGGTCCATCAGCAAATACATATTATTCAGTTGCTGTTGTTCGTGCTGGTTCATCAATAAATCTAAATAATTTACAAGGTGCTCGTTCATGTCATTCATCAGTTGGTTCATCATCTGGATGGAATCAACCAATATCACAATTATTACGTGATCGTCGTTTAAATATAATTGATTGTAATAATCATGTTAAATCAGCAGCATTATTATTTGGTTCAATGTGTGCACCTGATGCATTAAATAGACAATTTAATCCAACAGGTGATAATCCATCAACTGTTTGTGATCTTTGTCAAGGTACAAATGGAAATACATTTTGTACAAATCAAGATCCATATGCTGGAAATATTGGAGCTTTAATTTGTTTATTTAATCAAGGTGATATTGCTTTTCTAAGACATACAGCACTTATTGAATTACAAACACGTGATCCAACATTTCCTATTGATCAATTTCAATTATTATGTACTAATGGACAACGTCTTCCTTGGCAACAATTTCAACAATGTAATTGGGTAAATATATCTTTTCATTTTTTTTTCTTAATATAAAATTTTAAAAAATTGAAATTAAAGGGAATTGGACCTGCATCAGCTATAGTTGTATCACATCGTCGTCCAAAACAATTACGTGATATATATAGAAAACTTTTAATTGATTCAGCAAGATTTTTTTCATTACAAAATCCATCATTTCAATTATTTAATTCTCAACGTTTTCAATCAAATGATTTACTTTTTTCCGATTCAGCTATTGGTTTTAATTCACTTGATGATCGAACATCATATACTAATTATCTCGGTATGATATCACATCATTTTATTTCTTTTTTTTTATCATTTATATATCAATCTAACATATGTTTACAATTTATATTAATTCAATAACAAAAAAATAAGATTTTTTATCTTTATTCTGAGTAACCTTTTCCTTCTATTCCCTCTCAATAAACAAAACAAAACAAATATCAATCGATATATTGATATCAACTTTAATCAGTTTTACCATTGAAAAATCTTATCTCTAATTTGAGTTTATTATTACAAATAAAAATTCACTTTTCATTTTTGATTCGATTATAAAAAAGAAGTTTTTTCCTAATCTGAATATCTATTTTATTTCATGTATTATTATCGGAATAGAACTTTTTTTCTATTTAAAAAATTTCTTCAGTAGATATAAAAACTTTATCAATAAATTTATATTAATTGTAAACTTTTCAAATAATCATAGATTGAGATTTATTTCTTTAAATAAAGAAAGAGAAAAAGGTAATTATTTATTTATTTAAAGGTGAACAAAGATATCTATAATATCTATTCAACTATTTCGAAATGTGATCTCATCTTTTTCAAGAATTGAGTTCAAATAAAATCAACTCTTCAAAGAGTTCTTCCGAGTTTAGGTGAACTACTCGAGCAATTCTCTTCAGATCGAGATATGATTAAGGAACTCATCTGATGGATCTCACCTTTTCCCAAAAATAGATTTTTTTCTATGAAAAATTAGGATGGTGACATTGACACCTCGGATGGTAGAGACATGACTATGTTTCTCGAACCCTCACCTCAATTTCTATATGCATTATTTCGGATACCATAGATATCACTTCGCTTGTTCGCACCATTGTAACTAATGCTCCTCGTTTTCCATGTGACGCTTCTACCATCATATCTAATGTGGTCACCATCTAAGGTGATGCGCTGAGCAGTCTAGATGATGTCTCTACCATCCAAGCGGTTCTACTAGAATGGTAGATGGTACCTCTAGGATTTCAAGTATCGGTGCAGCTCTGGGTGTGGACTCGGGTTGTGAAGTGTACGTGTGGATTGTTGTGAATGTGTGCTTCTATGTGGATCTGAGAGTCCGGATGTGGTTTCTTGAGTGAATTTGAGTGTTGGAATATAGCTGTTAATATTAGAGTACAAGTTGCCTTCGTTCGATTTGAATAGTTTTACCCAAACTCTGTAGCCGCACTTATAGAACAGTTAATAAAATATTCTATAATGTATTAAGTTAACATAGGAAAAAAGAGAAAAGTTGATTTAGTGTGAAAATATGATAGGATATATAATTGATAATGTAAGTAGAAATCTAATCTCTTAATGAAAATAAATTTGATAGAGTAGTCGAAAAGAAAAAAATCTATTAAATTTAAAGTAATTATAAATGAAATAAATGAAATAAATAAATTGTAGGAAGTGAATATTTGTCAATGTTATCTCGTTTATATGAATGTCCATTACGTGTATTACGTTGGTGTGTATTATCAATATATGAAAAAGAAAAATGTCGTTTAATGAAAAATGCATTTGCACGTAAAAATATAAAACCAGATGTTGATTGTATATCAGCTAAAAATGCAATGGAATGTATGTCAAAAATTCGTCAAGGTATAGCTGATATAATAACAGTTGATGGAGCTGATGCATATCGTGGTCAACGTTATTATCAATTAATTCCATTAGCTGCTGAAGATTATGGTGTTGATATGGAATCAAATGTAATGTATGCTGTTGCTGTTGCTAAACGTACTGATTTAACAAGTAATTTATGGAATTTACGTGGTAAAACAATTTGTGCAACAGCTATCGGAGATCTTGCTGGTTGGCATGTTCCTGTTGATTATTTAAGTGCTATTAAAGAAATATATGTAACTAGTTGTCATATAAATAAAGTAGCTGGTTAGTTTATTTATTTAAATATATATATATTATATTTAATTTATTTTAATTTTTAAAAAAAACCAACCCAAAATAGGTGAATATTTTGGTCCAAGTTGTGTTCCAGGTTCTCTTGATTATGATTATAATAAATTAAAAACAAATCCACGTGCATTATGTTTAAGATGTTATGCTAAAGGTTCAGATTATTGTTCACGTTCACATCGTGAAATGTTTTATGGAAGCTCAGGAGCATTTCGTTGTTTAACTGAAGGTTAGATTTAATTCATTTTATTTTTAAAATATTTTTCTTTTTAAATTAAATAAAAAAAAAAAAAGGTCGTGGTGGTCATGTTGCATTTGTAATGCATACAGCAGTTATATCAAATACAGATGGACGAAATGTTGATCAATGGGCTCGACCATTACGTGCAATTGATTTTGAATTATTATGTAAAAATGGAACACGTAAAACAATTGAAGCTTATAAAAGTTGTCATTTACTTCGAGTTCCAGCTAGAATTTTAATGACATCAAGTTTGACAAATTTTATTTTACTTTTTTTAAAAATTTTATTTAATATATATTGTCTTTAGGTTTATTACCAGATTTAGATAGACTTTATATATGGAATATGCTTAATTTTGCTCAACAATTATTTGGATCTGATACGTATGTTTATTTTATCTTTTAGATTTTTTATTGAATATATTATTTTTCTTATTTAAGAAATAAAGAATTTACAATGTTTGATTCATTTTATGAACATCCTGATTTAATATTTCTTGATGCAACAGTGCAAATAACACGTATAACAACAAGTCTTGATGATTATCTTGGTCCAGATATGATTGAATTATTAGTTCGTACTGATCCACGAATGTGTAATTTAGCTTCATTCCATTTAATATCATATTCAATTTTTTTTCTCTTTTCTTTTTTATATTTTATAAATCAATTTTTCATGAATCTCTTGTAAAAACGAATAAGATTAATATAGATTCCACTTTGTTTTTTTCTTTTTTCTTTTTTCTATATCAATTTTTGACAAAAATGAAAATTCCGTCTGTTTATATTTCAATGTGTATATTAGGATTTCTTTCTTCTTCATCTTTATATTTGGTCAATTTCTATGAAAACTTTTTCTTGTTTTTTTATGCTTTCAACTAATCTTTTTTTTGCACAAAAAAAAACTTCAATTTGATATTAATCTACAAGGCACTATTATTGTATTGATAGAGTCAATTTATATTATAGATAAATAATATATTCATTTAACAAAATAAACAAATATTATTCATATTAAGTTAATAGATTAGTTTTACAAAATTTTATATTCAATTTAACAATAACAATAACAATTATTCGAACAACAAATCAATATTATTTACATTATATTAAATAATATTTATTTATTTATTCAACTATTCAAAAATCGATCGAAATATATAAGACAAGAATAAACATCTATCAAACTAGAAATCGTTACTCGATAATACTGATCATATAGAACACCTTTTTATATAATTATCTCAATTAGAATCGATAGAGATAATTACTTTAGGATCAATTCTACTCCGCTAGTTCGTTACCTTCAAATTCTAACTCTCTTTTAAGGTTACACTAATATTTGTCACCCACATTGAGACAAGTTTATACCAATATTATTTATCATAGTCAATTAAGTTCAACTTCATCTTATTTATGATAATTATCTATTTATATAAATACACTCCTGAAGAAAAGTCTTCTTCCTCCCCTCGATCTTCCATCATTTTTCTCTTATAGAAATATTCTAGTGTGAAATGAATGCTAGTTATACAATGATCGATTAACATAGATTATTCTAGTGTAGTCTATGATTGATAGAAATTTTCTTGAATATAATTGAGCAAGACTAGAAATGATTTTATTGAGAAAACGTTTGACAACTAGGTTATCTCTTTGTTTTTCTATCTGTTAACTTGTAACTAACATTGACGTTAAGATCAATATCCAAAAAATGCAGTTTTTTCCTAGTTTTCTGATAAATTTCACATTTTTTTTAATTTTTGTGATGTTTATATATTGTAATAGGAAGGTTGTAGAAAGCTCGTAAATGACTCATTTTCTATAAAATAGGATACTCTATCGATCTAGAAAAACAAAACGACGTTTTTTTCATGACTTCGAGGTGTTGAAAAAGTAGGGTCTTGGTATATTGGATGTTCTGTTTTTGATAATTTATCGATAATGATCATTTTATAATATTTGTATGGAAAAGAATATTCTCTATTCAAATTACTATTTGAATTTCTTCTAGCACTTTCGATTACGAAATAAAATCGAAATAAGATCTTGTCGAATAATATTGGTAGACACTATATAATAGATAATCTATAGAATAAAATGAGTAAGAGATTTTATTAAAAAATCGCTGTTGAATTAAATAAAAAAGAAAAATAGAAAACGAAATTTGTTTGATAAAATATATATTTATTTTTTGTTTTAGATGTCTCAGCAGACAAAAAAAAATGTGTTATTGGAATAAATTGTAAATATCTGAATAAAAATGTAAAAGATGACAATTGTCGAAAGAAAAAGGTTTAATTATTTGCAAGTTATATAACATATTAAGTTAATGTTTTTATAAATGATCTTTATCAAGCTCATCACTGAACAGATTAAACATATTTTCTTTGTTATTTCATCTTCGATTTGCTTTTATGAAGCAAACTTAATAGCGTTTTTTGAAATTGTTCTTTTTCATAGATTTTAATTATTTGATTAAATAAAAAGAAATCATCTTGAAAAAAAAAATCATTTATTTTTATTTGTTATTATTTGTTGTGTTGAATTTTATTTTTCTATTTCTAGATAAAATATATTAATTTGATTTTTTTTTAATACATGGTGGAAATTTTGGAAAAGCTTTACATAAATGTGATTGAAATGAATGACAATCAATTTGTTGAGATTGAAGTGATGTTGTTGTACTTGTTGTTTGAGATTTGTTTTTAACACATGATGAATATGTTTTTTTAAGATTATTTAATAAATCTTGACATTTTTTTTCTTTTCCATTACGAATACAATATTCACCACGTTCACGTAATTCATCAGGATTAAATGGAACTTTAGAAAATTCTTCATTTGTTAATGAAGAATTTTCAGATATATTTGATTTAATTGTTGATGATTTTGTTGTTTTAATTAACTTTGATTTTGTTGTTTTAATTAATTTTGATTTTGTTGTTTTAATAGATATTTGTTTTATTGTTGATGATTGAAGACAATTTGATGGAAAAACAGCACAGAATTTTATTTTTATTTGTTGACAAATAGTTATTTCTTCTTCTCTTGTTTTATTTTCACATTTTTTAATTAAATCAATAAATTTTGATTTTAATTCTAAACAATCTCGACTTGATGGTGTTCGTTGACATTTATTACGAAGTCGACCATATTTATCAATATCATCACATTTATTTATATTAAATAAACTAAATAAACATATTAAACCAACTAAACGCATTCTCTTTAACAAATAAATCATCATTTTTATCTTACTCGAACCTTTTACTTTTTTTCACTTTCAAATCTTTTATAAATCGATATAATTCTTATCTAATAAATGTCTATGAAAAAAAGATAAAATTATGAAATATGATTCTATAGAGAAGAAAATAAACAAAATCTCATATAGAATAACATTGAAAGATTATTGATAACTAGATCATTTTATTTATTATTTTATATAAATATTGAAAAACAAAAAAATCTATTATTTAATTCTAATAATAGTTAAATAAAAGAAATTCTTTTCAGATGTCCTCTATTCGATATTATATTAAATGATAATTATTTAATAATTATAAATAAAATATTATTTATAAATCTTTATTAAAATAAAAATAGTTTAATAAATAATGATAAATAAAGAAATGATTTGTAAAAATGAATTTAATTCAATAAAATCGAATTATATTCCAAAACGTCTTATTCTTGCTATATTAACATCATTTGGTTTACTTATTTTAACTGTTATTCAAACAAATTTTGCAATTACAAATTCGTTAATATTAAATCCACATCATTCAAAAGATGTTATCATCGATGACCATCAATTACCATATACGGTTTTTAGATTTTTTTTTTAAACAAAATTCATTCTATTTCATATATATATATAGACATCAAAACTAAATTGGACATCAGTTGAATTAGGTTATCTTAATTCAATATTTTATCTTGGATATTTGGTAATACATATTCCAGCTGGTTTTCTTGTTCATAAATTATCGGCAACAAAGTATTATTTTATTTATTTATTTATTTATTTAATAAATATATAATTTAATTTTTTTAAGAATATTTCTATATCCATTAATAATATTATTTATATTAAATATGTTAATGCCATTATCGATAACTCGAATACCGTCAACATATAAATTAAATTATTATATAACTGCTTTTGTTAGATTAATTCAAGGACTATGCGCAGTAAAAAACAAAAAACATATTTATTTATTTATTTAATATAAATTGAATTAATCAATATTAGGGTTGTGCTTTTCCATCATCACATGGTATTATTGCTAATTGGTGTCCACCAGGTGAACGTGGAAGAATGGGTGGATTTATTTATGCAGGTACAACTTTTACATTAAAAAAACAAGACAGATAAACATATATTTTGCTTTTTTTTATTTATATATTTAAGGTCTTTATGCAGGTCCAGTTGTTGGTTTTTTCTTGGGAGGATTTACAGCAAAATATGCAGGACATTATTCAATTTATTATGTATCAGGTATCGAAAATAATCAATGAATTTATTTTTTTATTATTGGTTGGTCCTTCTTATTCTAAGGGATGGGATCTATTTAAAGATTTTTCTATTATATGTTGATATTTAAATGAAATCAATATATATATATATATTATCGGGTGGGTAAATATGTTTGTTGCTTTCGTATTGATACTAATGCATGATTAATTGGGCTTTTATTTTCAATAAATCTTAAATAAATAAAAAAAGAAAAAAAAATGTTTATAATAAATGTTATATATTTAGCTATTCTTGGTTTAATATGGTCATTATTATTTATTTATTTAATATATGAAAAACCAAGTGAACATCCAACAATATCTAAAGAAGAATTAATTTATATAGAAAAAAGTATATATGATGTTAAATATATCTATGATGAAAAAGAAACAGATTCAATTTCTAAAGTTCCATGGAAAATAATCTTAATATCATTACCAGTTTGGTCAATATGTTTAGCACATTTTGCACGTGGATGGACATTTTATTTATTACTAACAAATCAACCAGCTTTTTTAAATGCATTTGGTTTTAGTGTTACAGAAAATGGTACACTTGGATCATTACCACATATTATGAAAGTTCTTGTAGCTTTATTAAGTGGATTTATTGCTGATTATATGCGTTTAATTTTATTATGGTCAACAACAAATGTTAGAAAAATAATGACTTGTACTGGTATTATATATTTATTATTTAATATATTATTTTAATTTTATTATTCTGATTGTTGTTGTTTTCTTAATAGGATATATAATAGAAGGTAGTTGTCTTTTAATCATGTCTTATGTCAAAAATTCGTATCTTGGAATTGCATTACTTACAATTGGTGTTGGTTCAAGTGGTTTAATGGTATCTGGTTGGCATTTAAATCATCAAGATTTAGCTCCACGTTATGCATCTGTTATAGCTGGTTTTACAGCAGTTATTGGTACATCAGCTGGTATAATTAGTCCAATTGTTGCTGGTCTTCTTACTAAACAACAAGTTATTATTTATTATTTTAAATAAAAAAAGATTTTTGTTTTTAAATTTTAATAATTCTAGGATTTAATTGGATGGCGTCATGTATTTACAATCGCATCTTTTGTTCTTTATATATGTTCATTATTTTATATGATATTTGCATCAGGTGAATTACAATCATGGGCAACACAATATCCATATAAACAAAAAATAAGATTAAATTCCGAAAAATTACCAGTATTAATTAGTTCATTTCAACATGATCTTCAAGAAAATATTTCGCCAATAAAACAAGAGAAAAATCTCAAACAATCATCTGTTAATCGTGATCATTAAATTAATATAGGTTTTAAACCGGTGATTTGGTGACATATTTATATGTTTTAGTTTTCACTTTGATTTGTTTTAATCTATATATTGGTCGAACGAATATATAATATTTATTTTTCGAATATTTATTTTATGGGATATCGACTATTTTATTTTGATTTATTCATTAAAAGATATATTGAGGGATTTGTTTTTATCAGAATTTTATTTTACTCGAATTATATTTTAATAAAAATAATAAATTTAACAAATTTTTATTCAATAGAAAGAAACTAAATATGATTTCTATCACATATCTTAGTTCAATATATAATCGAGATATTTTTTCAAAACTTTCTTTGACTTATTTGTCATCATCAGAAATATCAATCGTTATAACAATTGAGTTTTAATTCTAGTAGAATATTTATTTATATATTCTGATAATATTCTTTCATTTACATATTTCAATTGACCATTATACTATTAAAAAAAAAAACAAAAAACCTAAAAGGTATATCACTAGAGACAAAACAATCTATATTCATATATTGTTATAACCATTGCTTTAATAAATCGATCTTCTAACGATTTTTTAATGTCGCTTATATTCAATTGATTGCAGTTTGAGCAAGTTTTAAAGAGAGGATCCATCAGATTATCGAGAATTTTTCTACAGAGGCATAACATGGTCAAGTATTCGAATTCAATTTTGACTATGCTCATTCAATAGATCATGTCGAGAAAGCTATTCATCGAAAATTTTCGACCAAACAAATGGTGTTTTGTCGAGATATGAGATTTTCAAAAAAGATAATCTATTTTCTGATTTTCACAAAAATTCAGCAGCCCATATTTCGTGTCTTTCTCAGTCATTTTACAAGAGATTTTTTTTTGAGCAACGTCTGATTTGAAAGTGAAAATGAAACTGAACAAGTTGAGGTACTTTTCTCGTCTCAGCAATGATATTTATAGTTTTTATAATTGACAAGACTTCAAAAACCCTAATTGAAAAAAGTGAATTTTTAGAGTTTTCAAAACATTTCTTATAGAAATTTTTGTTGACCCAAAAATTTTCTTAGGCTATTCTGTAGAGAATTTATTTCTCTACAGTATACACTATTATTTATATATTTCAAAGATCCGGAAGATGACCAAAAATTCCAAATACCATTCATCACTATGGAAAAATTTGTCCAAATTTGATTGTTTGACCATGAAATGTTCATTTTCCAGGAAAATCAAAGATTGTATCGTTTCAATTTTTTTTAAACAAAATAAGAGTAAGAACAATAAAAAATCTAGAGGAAATCAGTAACCCATCGACTCCATGGGTCTCGCTTAGCTCAATTCTGAAAGTACGAAAACATATCATGCGACATAGGCTCATACATCACTAAACACATTCATAAGTGAGATTGAAATATTACAAAAGAAATTTCTTCAATGATTAGAAGCATCAGGATATATTGAAATCTAATCATAGTCAGATAATATATTGCTCGTCATTCTTCTGTATGTAAAATATGTCTATTTACACTACTCTTGGAACATGTGTCACTATCCAGTTTGAAGAGTCCAACTACTGTATCCTGTCGCATTCGATCGGATTCAATATTGGATTATGTTAAAAATGGTCTGATTCCGACTTCTTTCGGTCGGATCCTGTCGGATTGATTTAGAAATTAAGTGATCTGGAACCTATCGAACATTTACTTACCCAGGTCAAGCAAGCAGACGGTAAGATCTTACATGATCGTACCTCTGTTCTTGTATGATCTTGTAAGGTCATACGAAAATCGTACAAAAATCATGGTTCCAGAAATCTTACATCAAGTCGTACCTTGAGATTCCTGAAAGATCTTGCTGTTCAATAAGATATTCCAATAAGATTATAGAAAATCTTGTTCCACGGTAAGATCTTACAAGAATCTTAAAGTGCGATTTGATATAAGATTTCTGAGACCACGATTTCATCTGATCTTATAAGACCTAATATCTGATTTTATAATCTGGCTAGGGAAAGATATTATTGGATCCGGCAACTTCCGAAGAATGGATTCGATAAAGTTCTATCGAATCATTCGGGTAAACTTCAGAGATCCGACAGGATCCGAACGGATTTCAAACATGGCCGTTCTATGCTTGACTTGTTTCCCATTCAATATAATTTGCTATAAAAAAAATAAATATTAAGACTCATAACAACAATGGTAAAAATTCAGTGTCTACCATTATGATCTCTTTAATGAGACCCATACACAAGATAAACCCAGATAACGTTATTAAACAATGTGTACAAATATTAAAAATGAATACACTATATCCCATTGCCTCAATGCTTATTCGTATATCTTTACAATTACATTCTTACTCATATACTCCCATACCTATATCAATATATCTAGACTCTTATATTTGTATCTTCATACCCGTATGTTACTGATTATATCGTTGTGCCTATTACTTTACACCTGCACATCTGTAGGGCGAGCTAAAAGTTTCGACACTTCATGAGGTGGGTATGCCAAGATGAACAGAGCCAAACCCACACCTCACACTCCACAGCCACAACCACACGCACCAAAACCCACCCACCCACATTCACACTAGCCACACATCGAAACCAGTACCCATATCCACACTCGACAGCTACAACTATATCCATTCACACCCACCAGTATTAACACTAATACCTCTCATCCAGATTCCTACACCCAAATCCGTCCACAATGACAACCCTATCTCCAGAATACTCCATCTTCGCACTGTTTTAGTAGAAGCCCTCTACTCCGACATTCTGAAGCTCGCACGTAGTCAAACTCACCTCCCTATCGTTCAACTAGAATCTCTCTTGTCCTAACGCCCACAGTTACCTCCAGGATTACAGTTCTCTCTACAGACATAATAATTGCCACACCGGTTAACGCTAGCACTCCTATCCTCACACCTCTCAATATCCTCAACTCTATAGCTTATATCTCCATACCCACGTCCATACTCTCACACCCTTCCCATCCACATCATAATCTTGATACCCCTCCGCACTCCCACCGCTATCGTAATAGATTCTCCCAATGAAACAAATTCTTATCCTTACAAATCCCACCATGGTCATCCCGTTTGATCAATCCTTTTACACATACATCCTTTACCCTACATTCCTCTACACCCGAATTCTTGTCGCTTGTACCCCTGAACTCTCACATCTATCCTGTTACCCGCTATCGGCCACATCTCTATCTTCACGCTCTTCATCACTCCGATTTGTAGGGTCACAAACCCTCACAAGCGTCATCCGTATCCTCACACGCCTCAGTCACATCGTGCAATCACTTCACGCTCGCATCTCTCTTCTTGCATGCTTTCACATCTGTATCTCTATCCCTTCATTGACTCACACTTGCAGAGCTATCTTAACATACCTCATCAACCATATCCCTACCCTAAAACTTCTCCACATTCACATTCATATGCTCGTAATCCTTCACATCCACATCGATTTCCTCAAACTGCTCCACATCTACATCTTTCATCAACCCCTAGCCATATTCTCACGTCCCTGACTATCCTCATTCCCACCGGCAAACTCCTCCATATCTAGATTCTTCTCTTGATACCTCTCAACAATAGCATACTTACTCATATTACTCTCTTAATTCTCACAGCTATCTTGAAAATCATCATTAACCACACCTATATTCAGACACTCATCATCATCGTCGTCCTTATGCTCACAACCCTTCACTATCATGATCGGTATTCTAACACATCTCTCCACTCATTCTTATCTTCAAACCTCTTTTCACACCCATATCCCTGTTCTCATACCTCTTCAGATCCCCATCCATGTCCCATCCACTCACATTCTCATCTTCATACCCGTCTTAACAGTCACAGCTGTATTGAAAGTTTTAATTAACTACATGTCTATCTACAAACTTATCCGCATCCACATCGTTCTCCTGAAACCTGTCCACATTCATATCGCTATTCTCACATCTCTTCACACCCATACCCATCTTTCCGCACACTTTTAAACTCGCGCAATTCTCTAGACAGCCCTCACGACGCACATCTCTATCGTCACATGCTGTCAGACTACCATGTCTATCTCCAAACGTGAGCACGTAAACATCAATCCTCCCATATTCTCACACCCGCAGACTAACAAATTTTCAAATCCATAGCGCTGACTCACCCTTAATACGTCGATGCAGAAAACGACAGCTAGATTTCATAATACTATATATACTGACAGTCAAGAGTAATAACTACAGCTAGGCAAAGAATTCCATGCCGATCCACGCCGTACTTCGCATGCAAATCCAGAAAAATCATCTTAATCATACCAACGACGGAAACATTCACATACATAGCCGTGTGACGCAGACTGTGATGTGTGCCCACATATACATAAGTATCCCTTTCTTGGCACCCACAACTATTCTCAAACCCATATTCAGTGACATCTAAGACACAGGTTTTTGATTGTTACTGGAAGAAAGGAAACTGAAGATCCAGTGCAAGGTGTTTTATTCTATCTTCTCAGACTTTATCTGATATTTTCATAGGTAAGGAACTTCTCGTTACCAATATCTGAAAGAAACTTGGCTGAAACTGACCAAGTTACTTTCACTGACATTTTTTCAGCCGTCACGAAAGAATTTCGCACTAGATTTCCATTTTTTTGGCAGCGATACTTTCTGCCTCACTTATCAGTAATGATTCTCAATTCCCGTTTCAGACAGGCAATCCCAGAAAATAGTATTCCAAATATTAACCACTTTCGTGAAAAGCTACAGACAGCCATATCCTATACCAAAAACGGTACGATAGCCGTAAAAGAATTATAATCTGCATCATCCATACAAAAGTAAACCCATAATACAACGATCGCATTAGTGTAATGATTGTGAATCCAAGTTGAACCACACGCTCCGTTCTCATTATGGGATGTCCACATCCATAACACGAGTTCATTTCGTTTCCAACCAATAAATGCAACACCAAGAGAAGCCAACCTGAAATTCGGCATACCCAACCCTCCAAACATACACGCATCTATGATAGCATCGGCAAAAACCATTACGACAGAGAAAACCTCTCTGAACTTTCAGGTATCTACAACTCAAAGAAAACGGAAAGTCTTTAATCCATTTCGCATCCTAGCACAATTGATGAAAAATCTCAACCGATGATCTTGTCACAGTCCATTTGTAATCGTTGATACGCAGACCCCAAATTCTTCTGATTGGTTGACTTTCCGAAAGTTGAAATCCTTTTGGTCAAGTTTTTTACCTCAGATTCTTTCCATTCGCTGACTTTCTGGAACGTGAAGTCCTATTGGTTCGTTTTTCGATCAATGAAACACCGAACAAATAGACGAATTTTCGTTGTGCAGACTCAACCATTCAGGATTGAAAACATCTATCCACATCTACATCCCACATCTACAATCGAATCCAACCCACATCTACATCCAGGAACCCACATTCGCTCCTCATCTATACCAACATTCAAGACATTCATATTCACACAAACATCTAGACGGAGATCAAGGCCCAGATACAGACCAACATCCCATACCCACACCCACACCCTCGAGATTGTATTTCTCCGTGATATATAAGGTGGAGCTCTCACATACACCCCTCATTCGATAGAGTGTCTCCGATAATCCTAGAATCGACCAGAACATGACTAGTTCTTGTCCTGATAATAAGAAAGAAAAACCCTCCTAAAATCTGATTGGTCCATTTTTCGACCAATCAGACACCGGACAAACATACGAATTTCCGTTGTGAAGACTTCATCCTTTCAGGATTGAGAAAAACTTGAAGATAAAAGAAGAAGGCGATTTAATTAATATAATGAAAAATTCATTGATCAAAATTAACAAATTTTCTTAAACGATCTGTTTGAGTTGTTATTTGAATAGATTGTCGTTGAAATGAATTAAGTTCTTGATCGATAATTTTTTTTGCATTATCTTTATTTCTTATAAAAATGAGACATTGATTTGTAAAACCCATATCTCGTAAGCTTTTAATTAAACGTGCACCTGCATTATGAGAAGGTGTTTCATTATGCCGTGTCATATCTGTAACAATACGAAATGTATCTTGATTTTTTAAACGTTGTCCAAAAGGTGATCGAAGAAATGACAAAGCACTATTTGTTGTTGATTTCGGAATAAAATGAACATTAAGATTAAGTGCTTTAGCTGATGCTGTTTCCATATGTTGTTTATTTTCCCAATTTTCATCGAATATATTATCATCAACCCATAAAATAGACCATTTCGAAAGACCTAATTCAACTTGTCTCATATAAATAATATGTTGATTACCATGAAAGCCAATTTCATGTTTAAAAACAAAAAATGTTGAATGAGGTAAAAATAAAACTTCATCTTCTTCTTCATAATTTGAAAATTGTTTTATTGGACGACCAGTTAACGAATAAATTTTAAAAAAAGTATTACGATGAGCAAAATCAAAATTTGTAGCAACTTCGTTTCCTTTTTTTGAACTACTAAATTGAATCCATGTTATTAAACAACCAGGCATATATAATTTTAATTCACTCTCAGTTAATGTACAAGCACGTGTAACATAACCCCAATAATAAGGAATATATGAAAGAGCTTTAACTAAATAAAAAAGTATAACAGCAGCTTCATTCATTTCATCTTTTGTTTTTGATTCAATAACTTGTCCATTAGCTTGACGAGCAACAAGACTAGCACCTCGACTAACTGCTTCACTTTTAGTACCTGTATAAAATGATAAAGCTAATGCTGCTGATTGAGCATCATCAATTGCTAAACCTTTTTCAATAAAATAAGGTGTTGATAATGCAGTTCTTCTTTCATGTTCAATCATTATATTATCAACATTAACTCCTTCTTTTGTTTCATAAAAACGACAAACTTGTTTTAATTTTCCATAAGATGATTTTCTTCTAACCATATCAAATAAAAATGGATTAAAATGATCTTCATAAACAAAATGATTTTTACGATCATCAAATATATTTTCATTATTAATATCATTTTCTAATGTAACATATTCCAAAAAAAATTCCATTTCTTCTGTTTCCATCATTGTAAATGATGTATTTTTTGCTCGTGTTTGTTCTCTTGAATCAAGAGTTCTTGTTAATTTTTGTAAATATTCACGATTTGTTAAACGACCAACAAACATCATATAACAATCATGTGGTAAACGAGCACTTTCTGATGATGATGCTGGATTAAATGTACATAAATCACGAACAATTTCTCTCATACTACGACCTTGTTCTTTCGACATGTTTTTTTTTCGAAATAGAATAATAAACAACCGATTTTATATTTAGATAACAATAAACTAATTTAATAAAACGAAAAAAAAAATCATATGACAGTAAAAGATTTTGTAGTTATAAAAGAGAAAAGAAAAGTCTTTCTAACAACAGACAAGAATGATATAGGTAAGAGAAGATAATTATTTGTCCAAAGAAAAAAACAAATTTTTTTTTTTCTGTCTTGCAAAAACAAGATGACTATTAGAAAGAAGAAAGTAACATTTTTTTAACTCGATTTCGTCTATTATGGTTGATGGACTTATCAAAACAAAATAAGTTTATTCTCTTTCAGTGAATTGCTCCTATCTAGGACTATTTTACAACTTTGGACTTTTTTTCGAAATAAAAGATTATTAAAATGATTTTATTTATTTTCATCATATTGAAAATTTCTTAAGTATAAATATAGATTATTCGAATTGATATGAGAGAGAAAAAAATGCACGTTTTTATCAGATTTATAATAGGAGAAAAAACAAATTTTTTCAATCATCCTTCTTTCGAAATAAAATCAAATACTTCACATAAAACTTTTATATTTGAAAATTAGAAGAAGAATTTCATCAGATAATTATATTAAAATTCAATTTATAGATTGTATGTCTAGAAATATATATCAATATATGAACATTTCTATAGATAATCTTCCAATAATCCTAACCACTTAACAAATCCTTCTAACTCTATTGATAAATAAGGTTTATCTAATATTCTTTTTTTATTTCTAAAAGACGATATGATCGAATCAGTTGATCATTAGTCAATATCTACGTTAATTAAATTTTATAGAGATAAACATATTGTGATAGTTACTTGAAAATTGTTATGTTGTTAAATCCTCTTTTATGAACATAACTAAAAAAAAATACAAAAATTCTTATTGAATAAAAAAAGATAAAAAGATTTCAATTTAAGATAAGATAATAAAATTTGATTTATTTAACAATTTATTTTTCTCTTTTATTAAATATAAAAGAACGATCGTTTTTCAATGATTCGAATTAGTTATTTTGAAAAGTTGATAGTTAATAGCTACTCATATATATATATTTATGAATAAGAATTAAAAATCAATCAATAAATCTAAAGAGTCAAATATTAATGACGTATAGTTATTGTTCGAACAGAATCATCTAGTTCATATCTTATTTGTTTTCTCATAATAAAAGCATAAAATTTAATAAAAATTCTTTTTAAATCTCGTCGAAATGAAGATGATGTTGATATATATATATAAAATGGTAAACCTGTATTTAAATACATAATAAATGATTGAAATATATAATTAATAAATGATTCAATTTGTTTTCGTTCTCGACTTTTTATTAAATAATCTGTCATCATTTTATAAATAAGATAAATTGAAAATGGCATTGTACTAATAACATAAAAGATAACTTCAATAAAAACGATTTTTATTAAATCTCTATCACGTTTTCGAAGTACATTTATTGATTGACTTTTTTCTTTATCTTCTATTCTCGGTTGAACACGACTTCTTAATTGTTTTAAACTTTTCATAACTAATAAACTGAATATAATAATTAATAATGGAGGAAGAATTCCAGCAGATATCATATAATAAATTGTATAAATCATTAAATATATTACATGAACCATTTTCAATTGTTCGAGACCAACCAAAAAATATAACTGTTGTTAACCAAAATAAAGCAAAAATAATAATTAAATAAATAGCTATTTTACGTTTGCTAAATGAACGAATATTAACATTAACACTACAAATAGCATAACGATCAATACATGCAAGAACTTTATATGTACGCATCATTTGAAAAAAACTATGTCGAATATAAAATTGAATTTGACAAACAATTACAAATTGACTACTTATATCTATATGATCTAATGAATATATTATTGGAATTATTCCAACATTAAGACAAATTAAATTACATATTGTCATTGATAATAAATAGAGTGAGCAAGGACTTTTAAGTTGTTCAGATTGAGAAAAAACAGCTAGAGTTAACAAATTGCCAAGATTTCCAAATGCTACATATGTACTCATACCATATCGTGTTAACATTTGTTGAACAAATGATAGATAAGAGACAGAACTTGTCATTTTTATTGGTTAACTCTCCAAACGAGAATTGTTTAAGAGGGAAAAAAACACGAGTGATAAACAGTTAAGGATACGACTCTTATTTATGAAAAGAAAATTAGTTCTCGGATCGACATATATATGTGATGTGAAGACAGATTATTCTATGCTTGATTAACTTGATATAATTTTTCAACTGTGTATTCTAGGATGAAGACATTCAAATAATCTTCCTTCATTATTACGATTCATTTTGAAATATTTCATTAAAACAGTAGGTGGATATGATTTGTTTTTCAATTGAATCATCATAATTAGGTTGATTTATGCATTGAAAATAATAATTTTAAAAAAAAACTAAACAGATATTTTTCTTCATCTTTATAATTGATAAAAAGATAATATCAAATAAATAATCCATTTATAGAATTCTATTCATAGACTTTTTTTTCATAGATCATTATCATTAAATAGAAAAATAGTTAAATAATCATTTGACATTTTATTGAAATAAATTTCGTTTAAGAACGATGATTAGTTTTTTCACATCAATCAATTTCTATAAATAAATCGGTCATTTACCTTTTATTATTATTCATAGAAGAAAAATAATTAGAGAATCATTAAATCATTTTTCTAATTATATCAAAAAGATCTTTTTAACTTCAAATAAATATCTTTCAACTTAATATTATTTAGTTAACTGATGTATTATTATATATTAGTCTACCTTTTTCTTTACTTCATTTTTCTCTCTTTATTCTTCTATTCTATGATTATTAAATCAATTTATTTTATTTGAAATCTTGTCAATATGTTTAAAAACTAAATATATATATATAATGAGATATTATTCTTTAAAATTAATATATTTTTTATTATTAAAAATATAAAAGATAAATAATTAAATAAATGCATATTGAGAAAGAAAATAATAAAAATAAATAAATGACAATCATATTTAATATATTGAGAAAAGAATTTTCTTTTTTTCATTGAATTTATTTTGAAAATCAATTAGAAATCTAATGAAATTTATTATTTTTTTTTTTTATTTTTGTCAATTAATAATAAACAAATAAATATGTTTATTAAGAAAAGAAAAAGAATTTATTGAATAAATATTATCTTTGAAATATTCGAAATTTTTCATCGTTTATAGAAATTTCTTCAATTCGATGAATATATTAACATTTATTTTTAATATCATTTCAATTATTTATTTAAAATAATTTCTTTTATTAAATAATCAAATAGAAAGAGAATTTATTCAATCGATTAATTATATTTCGATTTATTTCAATAAATTCTATTCGATATATTATTTTTAAATATAAATATCTTTATTCAAAATTAAACAACTAATTATAGTAGAAGATTTCATCAAACCTTTATTCAAAATGATTACTTTATTAAATCGATCTTTAAACGATCAACAACAGATAAGAATATCGTTCGATTTATTTCAAATAATAATTAGGAAATGTTTTCAATTTAAACATCATCTAATTATATATTCAATAATCATTATTTTAAAATGACGAATAGATATTATTTCGATTCAATATTATATTGATCAACATTTATAAGATTATTTATCAGTATGAATTATATTAATAGAACCAACATATGACAAATATATTTCAATATATTTTATTAACTAGTTCAACTAGGAGATTTTAATTGACATTTAAATATAAATGATAAATAAATCAAATTTCGATTTAGTTCAGATCGAATTTGTTTAACATAATTAGAATTTGTATTATCTTATATTTTTTATATAAATAAAGGTTTATTTAAATATAGAATTAAATCATATTGATTCGACTTCTAGATAATTAAATGAATTATTTAATATATAGAATATTTAATTTATGATCGATCAATATTATCATTATATATTAATCATAGATAATCCGATAATCGAATTTATTTATTTAATCGACTAAATAAAGATAAATAAAAGCACAATGGATTTTTTTTATTCTTAAATAATTGAATATATCCAATTTGAATTCATTTCAAACATATTCAAATTTACTTATCACAATTAAAACATTTATTTATTCATTTAGATTTTAATCAATTATTTTTATTAATTCTTAGTGATATGTTTGTTTTTTTGTTGTTTGTTAAGATAAACAAAACTATAAGAAGATTTAAATGATTGAATGAAAGAATGAATTGACTTTTAAATTTGATTTCTCCTCTACGATATAATTCTTGATTTTATAGAAAATATTTTTTATTTATATAGAGGAAATTTTCATCATTTTTAAATTGATGATTGGACTATTCTAGAAATAATATATCTATTTTAATATTGAACAATACTAATTTTTTCTTTCATATTTTAATTGATTTATCTTGAATATTTTAACTTCGATAGAAAAATGATATAAATAAATAAAACAATATATTGAATAAGATTATATATTTTAAAAAAACAGATTTTTAATGCTGAACAGTAGGAATATGAGAATCTATATTTATATTATTTTATTTCTAATCTTGATATGTTTATGGAGTTGCAATATAAGTATTTCAACTGGAAGATAAAAGTCTTTTTATAAAACCTTCTCTTATTTGTTCAGCTGTTTTTTATTCAATATAAATATAATTTAAACAAATAAATCTATGAAAATTTCAAATATTTGATCAATAAGCAAGAGTTAATTGATAATTATCCGAGAATTTAATATAATGAAAAGGATCTTGTTTATAATAAAAGATCGATAAATGGCAATTAATTGATAAAATCCAAGAGATAGTATTCAACATAATCGAATATAATCTATTTAATATTTAATATTTTTATTTTCATTAATTGTTCTATCATCTCAAATTCAAATCAATATATCACTATTTTATTTTCAATTTTTTCATTAAACTTTCAAAACTTTTTTTTCTTTATCATAACAAAAGATTTTAAATCAATTTTAATAAGAATTTAGAAAAATAATTTCGAACTATTTCGATAAGATTTTAAATATGAATGTTTTTTAAAATAAAACAATCATTTTGAATAATGAATAGAAATCTATATATACATTTATACCATTATCTTGTTTAAATCATGTTTATACTGGATCTTTTCCCTATATTGACATAGAACATATTTATCTTTGTTATTCACAATATAGAATAATAGAACTATTTTAATAACACATTAATAAATAAAACAAAATATACTATTATTCGAATGAGTATTTTTTTTTAATATTTTATCATTTTATTTGAGTAGCATTAATAATAGGTACGCTAAGTTGCCATCAAAATCTGAGTTCACTCTATTGATAAAACCATTTGATAAGTGCGTATTTATCATCACCAAATAATAAATATGAACCTTAACCATGGGGATACTATCAAGGACGCTCCGGTTCACCTACAGATTTCCAAAATAACTATCTATACATACGCCTGGACAAAAAATAGATTTAGTCCGTATTTTTAGTATATTCTCACTATAAAAACACACTTTTTTAAAAGGTAATTAGATATTCTGAAAGCGCGTGAAGCTTTCTATCAGTTTATATATTTATGTTTTGGTTTGGATTTGTACATTACGAAAATAAATCGAATGCAATGAAGTCACCCTCATGTCCAGATTCTCCACCAACAAAATATAGTCAGTCTCATGAAAATTAGTTTTTAAACATTTTTATTACTAGAGCAACATCTTTTCAAAAAACTAATCATATTTTCTTCAAGAGCTTGAAATTTTCAATCATTCTATATATTTCTCAATTGTATTGATCATATCTATTCAAAAGAAAGATCTAATAGATTTAACATAATCACAACTTAGAAGGATTAAAAAAATCTCTATTTTTTTATCTTGTTAAGGCCACCCCTCCCCTCAAAAAAGTCACTTTTCGCCAAAATCATCCAAATTGAGATAAATTCATGAGAAAATAGCCCGTCATCTGCTCTTTCATATGCGGCAAAAAATTTTATTTGACACTTCCTTTTTTCCAAAAATTTCGGAAGATTTTCTTCACCCCCTATTCGAAAAATAAGCTGTTTTTGAAAAAAACAAAAAATCATTTTTCCTTTTTCTCAGAACATGGGTCCAACAACGTATCTCCAGCAGAGCTCTATCACAGTAAGAGATAAAGTCAAATATTTTTTTTTGTTTGAAAGCTTGTGTCTAGGGCTAGCCCCCCTCGTGATCCTTTTTATAAAAAAGCCTTTTTGTTTTCATATAGGAAAACACCTCTATAAAAACAGCGCTATTTTTTTAGGGGTTTTTTGAGTCATTAAGCTTGTCGTCCCTTTTTTTTCTTAAAAAGTAAGAATTTAAAGAAAAGGGCCACGAGAGGGGCTAGCCCTAGACACAAGCTTTCAAACAAAAAAAAATTTTAATGTATAAAATGAAGGCCTACAGAGAAATCTTGGAGATACTAAAGTGCTATTTTTGACCCTTGTTCGGTGAATATCTCTGTCGAACGTCATGATATATGGCTGAAAATTTTACCATAGCCATGGTTTACCAGTCTCAACATATCCTGAAAGTTTCATGCGATTCAAGTGTGTCTGGGCCGAGATCGAATTTTGAGGGGGGGGGGGGCGGAGAGGTGGCCTTAAGAGTTATTTTCTGTCTGTATATTAACTAATTTTGTCGCACCTCAACACTTATGAAAACATCCCGAAAGCAAAATCTTTAGGAAATCTAGTCAAAGTTTATTGTGTTGTGCATAGAATGACACGAATTATTTGAAATAGATGTTCTGTTGATATTAGTCTATATATATAGAATAGAATAGTAAAATGATTGATACATAGATTCTATTAAATCTCGAAGATAAATCATCGTTTTTCAAATATTCGTTCACTCTTTCGAATTTCTATGCTTGTCCTATATCTCCATAGAGATATAGTTAACAAAAAACATCCGAACAACTATCATCAATTTTATATTTATTCGGTTAATATGATAAGAACAAAAATTAGAAATATTTCGGTATCACCAGGAA